CATGTGTCAAACTCAAGGCCTGCTGGTGAATCCCATGTGGCCCGCTAGGGGCGGTACCCCCCCAAAAAATATTTTTTTACTTAACATGAAAATTGTTTCTTATATCAATGGTAAATTTAAAATTTATGATTAAATGCAACAAAATAAATTTAAAAGGTAAAAGATAATAACAATTGTCCTGCCCCTGAGCTGTTGGCTTTAAGTAACTGAGCAGTTTAGTTGGATAGCTCAATATTAATGTCTGAAAATAAGCTGCTTTTAAGTCAGCATCAACCATAAACTAAATCTGCCATAATTACTAGAAACTCATCAGTGAGTAAAACTTTATTAGTTTTACTTTTAATAATATTTCTGTATCTGTTTCAGATTTAGTCAGTCAGTTTTATTAGTGTTTAAAAGAGGACGTGTTAAAACACTGTTTAGTCAAAGTTAAACATGAAACGTCAAAGTTAGCTATAACTGGCCCTTCGAGGGCCACCATAACACTCATGTGGCCCTCGGTGAAAATGAGTTTGACGCCCCTGTTAGTGGGTGACACATGTATCAAGGACATACCAGTTTTGACAAGACGGAAGGTGAGGTACGCCCTGCACAGGTCACCACTTCCTCACAGGGCCACAACACATAAAACACAACAATGAATGAACTTGTGTGCTCACTCGCAATGTCAATCATCAAATAACCCAGCATGCCACATAAAACAAGAACACAACCAGCAACCAAACTCATGAGTGTAAAATTAAAAGGCACACTGAGGGAGAAAGATAGCAAGGTGAAGTCAAAATCTTATCAATATTCTATTCTGAATGCATGTTTTGAGAAGACAAACTAATATTTTCACATTACAATAATTTTATGGATCACCACCAAACCTGGCACATTAATAGTCTTCAAAGATACATTTTATTCAGGTTATTGTTCTTTACTTTTCCTCTAAGGCCATCAATGTGTTAGAGCTTTTGAAATCTTTTATCTCAGCTTCTAAATAAGAAGTATAAAATACCTAAACGTACATAAGTATTAAATTTTAAGATTATGATCACCAAGACTACAAAACCAGTTCCTATGGAAAATTTAGTATTTTATGTGCCAACTAATACCATTTCTCACTCCCTCATACCAGTCTTCTCTGGATGTTCATTTTATTTTCTCTTGCAACTTGATCAAAGTAAGGAAAGGAGCGTGGTGAGAAATGTAATAGGAAGAGAACCCCCAAAAAAGAAAGGCATGGGGTAGAAAGGAAGAGGTGGGAGAGGGAAACAATACGGAAGGACGAGAAAAACTAGAACAGGAGAGAAAGGAAAAGGCCACGAACCTAACAACACTTTGCTGCCAGGAACAAACTATCACTCTGTCTCAATCTCTCGTTCATCCAACCCTTGATCTATTCTTACTGTAGAGCTTCTGGAGTGCCTGCTCAAACGGTCTGCCATACTACCCTCAACACGCATCGTTTGTTAACGATTGCAACCCAGAGTTCTTGCAGTTCAGGAGCAAAGCTGCATAGCAACCCCACAGCACTTCCTGTCGGGCCAGGAGTTGAACGTCAGTGGCCGTTGTTCATTGCAGTGCCCTCTTTGCTTTTAAAAAAAGGCAGACGGGAAGCAGTTCACTTACAATCAGCTTTGTGCCTTGTTGTGGGGAGAAAGGGAATAACTGAGAAGCCAAAACGCCCTCAGTTCACTGCACCTCTATATTGTACAGCTAAGTAGTACTTCTTGTACTGACATCTTATAAATGAAATCAATAACAGCTCAGCATCCTAAACAGTATTTGGCATTGTTTTATGACAACATTTGATCAATTAATTTTTTTAAACAGTTTACTTTTTGTCAGTAAAAGGCCTTTTAACATATAAGGTCAATGAAAGTTTTAGTGAATAATACTGCTTCATAAACAGCTTAAGTAAAAATTAAATGGCTCTGCCTTTTAACCACTCAGCATATTTATGTGATTACAGCTCATCATGTTACACAACGTGTAACATTTGAATTTTATGTAGAGTCGTTGCATTTATGAGCAACCATTTGTTTATTTTGGTGCATGTAGGACAGTCTTTCTAAACAAAATTAAGATTTACTTATAAAAACATTCAATAATGTTAAAAGGGCTTTTAAAATAGGTTTTAAATTCAAGAGAAGACCTTAATATTAGCTGCATCTTCTCTACACAAACTGCCAAGGTACTTTTGTTTGGGACAAACATGATTTGCACATATGCAACTGCTAAGATTACAAGGAACCAATCTGTGATTAATTTAAAGCAGTTTGTGTGAGATCACATGTAATTAAAAGCTAAACTTTATTGGAACTGTGATCCTTAGTRTTAAAAGGTAACGGTGAGAAATAGACCTTTACTCCCACCTAGTGGTCAAATCTGTCAACTACAAAAACAGTATGTTGACAGAAACTTTAGTTTGTAAGATGCTTTTTATCTCCAGTCAATCAGGAGCATTGGTTTTTTTTAACAGTTTCTAAAAAATACAAGTGCTCAGAATACAAGCAGCTTGTAAAAGAACAAATAAAAAACTCAATAACTTTAGTCTGAAGTGGACTGGAGAGTTGAAGCATCAGTTTGGGACATCCACCTGCTTGTTCTGGTGGAAGCAGAGACCTGCGACAAAAAATAAACTTCATTTACTCTTGATTTCTGTGTATTTATAACCTCTTCTAAATAATAATAATAATAATAATAATAATAATAAAAGCAAAAAACCCCACCATGGTTAAGATTTTCATCAAAGCCATGATAGCTGTCAAAATATGCAGTTTTTCAATGTTTTTGATCAGAATTTTTATGCTACACCAATAAGTGGTTGTTTGGGGATTAAAATAATCTAAATTTGTAATGGATTTAAAAAGAATTGCATTAGAAAACAGCAAATATTCCTCAACTTTGTTTACAACTAACGGCAATAAATTATGCTAAGTTGTGAAAATGACTGTATTAGAGCTCAGAACGTCTCAGATTTGAACTTCATCTTTTTGTTTTCAGTTTGGTGTCTCTGATTTTACTGTTCTACTTCTGACTTTGTTTACACCCGGGGATTATTTATATCTGCCAAGAGCCGAGACTGTCCGAAGTGAATTTGTCAATGTTCAAATCTAAACAAACAACTCTTTTTGGCAACAAAACATGACTGTTAATTTCACTTATTACAAATTATGWGGTGCATTTTTAGTAGCAAATGTTGTTGATTCAGTGTTTATTAATTTAATCGTAGATAATACACATACAACCCCCCCCCCCAGCTTTTAGCTCTTTAAAATGATATATTAGGTAGATAATTATTTCTTCCACATTTCAACAATTGTAACTACAATTTTACAAAATCTTATATATATATTAAATCACCATCTCCATGTTTTTCAGATGTTACAGACTAGAACAGAACAGTTCTGCTCTAAAAAGTGGCATAATTCACATGCAGACATTTCCCAGACAAAGAAAGCTTTGGCCTAGTTTAGAGCCACAGCAACACCCTAATACCCTGGCTTCACCTCAGCTTTGTTACCAATAATCCTCTCCTGACATCAATAACCACCTCCACAACAGGAAAACATGCATTTCAACTGGTATAATGAGAAAAACAAAAAGCACATGGCTATGCAATTTTAAAAAACAACGATAAAGGTACGTTTTCTCAAATACTTGATTGAGTTGATTTTATAAAAGGTTTTTTCACCACATGACTACATAGTGTTGGAAAAACAAGCACACAAAAGTAAAACGAAACAAAAAAAAATCTTTATAGAATAAGCCAGAGCAGATGAGCAGTCTGTTGTCACAGCTGTAAAAACACAATAAGATATGATGACAGAACCACAACTACACTTTAGAATTAGTCAAACACCATTTTAGACAATACTGTGATATCC